TGGGTCTTGCTCTGCTTGGGTCTTGAGGCCCCAGGAGCGAAGAAGGGCAGCGGGGTTTTGCTAAGCTGCATGAGTTCTGGGGGCAGGAAGGCTGTTTAGAAGGGCCAGCGGCCGAGAGGCCCCGCCAGTTGGGAGGCTTCCAGGCCGCAGTGGAGGAAGTGAGCAGTTTCCCAGGGGACTGGGACCCCAAACCCAGGGGAGGGCAGGCAGAGCTCGTGGGACCGATTGGGGCCCGGCCCATTCTGTGGTGAGGGGCAGGGATCCTTGGAGCACCTGGAAAGCATACCCCTCAGACCCCACCGCAGGAAGCCTGGGGGGCAGTGGGTCTGGGGCAGATGGGGAGGAGGGGGCGGGGGTCCCGACACCCACAGTCCCCGCCCTGCCGCCTCCGCCCACCGACTGCAAATGCAGCAGGCCCTAACTGCACCTGTGGCCCGTCCCCTGCAAACGCAGGCCTGTGGCTGGCTCTCCTTCCCGGAATCATGCCACCGCCCAGACCTGATCTCCCCTCCCTTTTCTTTTGGTTGAGGTGAAATTCACATAAAATTAGCTGTTTTTAAGTGAACAATTCACTGGCATTTGGTGCATTCCCAGTGTTGGGCCACCACAAGTTCTATCGAGTTCCAGAACATTCTGTCACCCCAAAAAGAAACCCCGTCTCCATCAGCGGTGTCACCTCCCCTTCCCCAGCCGTCGGCACCCACAAGCCCCCTTCCCGTCCGTGGATGAACCTTTCCATAAGTTCGCTGGCTTTGTCCAAACCTGTCTGGACTGCGGATTTTTCCCGCCCTTCTGGATTGAGAGGGGTGGGCAGCTTCAGGTGCACAGCCGGCCATGGGTATCGCCCTCAGGTCAAGGGGCACCCTGTCCCCCCCACCCCCCTATGCTCCAGGCTCCCACGGGCAAAGAGGATGGTTCTGGGGAGAGCCAGGTTCAAATTCCAGCTTCGCCAAGGCACTGATGATCTCTGAGCCTCAGTCTCCCCGGCTGTGAAATGGCTGCAAATGAGAAATTGTCCCACCAGGTTTTGGGGAGGGCTCAGGGAGACGTGGTTCCTGGGCCAGGAAAGCTTCCCAGTCACCTTATGACGTAGGCATGTTCCAATCACAGAGGAGGTGCAGGGGCTGTGGTGAATGTGGGGTGCGGCCAAGAGCCGGGGCACACTCAGGCTTGGCTGACTTCCCAGCCCCTGCCCCTGGCCACTCTGCGCTGACTTTGAAAGCTCACAAGGAATTTCCTCTCTGGGGAAACTGAGGCCCCAAAGACCCCCACGCAGCCCCCAGGGTCACATCAGCATGGGTCCGACCGGTGGAGACGGTAACTGCCCAGGGTTCTCGGTGCCTCCGGAACCACAGGCTGGACCCCTGTGGTTAAGAAAACAGGACTGAGTTCTGCTCCCGAGCCCCATCTGGGAGTCATTCAGGAGCGAGTTCTGAGTGTCTTCCAGGACTCGGTGGAAGCGCCCCTCACGGGACCTCCTGCCATTCAGGTACATCAAAACCAGGGGCCCTGGGGACACAGCGGGTCCGGGACGCCGTCGGGAAGCAGGCGGTCAGTTCCCAGGGAAATGGGCAGACTGCTGAGTCAGAAGGAAGCTGCTGACCTGCAGAGTCGCACCGCTGGACCAGGATGGCCTCCAGGGCTAACAGCAAGAGGTACTGGCAGTGAGACTGGAAGAGGGACTTCCAGGTCTCCCAGATGGGGAGGGGCTGGCCCATGTCCCTCAGGGGCTTACCCACTTCCACACCGTTGGTCTCCATCTCCCACTTATGCTCCTGGTACACGCGCCTTAGGTGGCCCTTGGAGAGGCCGAGGGGATCTGGGACAGCAGGGAGGGAGATGGGCAAGGATGAATGACACCCACGTCACCCTAGGCTGGGGCCATGGGCAGAAGGAGCTGCCAGAACCCCTTTGGTCTTACCCAAGCCTCCTCCCTGTGGCCTACTTTGCCTAAACCATTGTGTGTCAGCTTGGACGTCCCCTTCTCCAGGAAGTCTTTCTGCTTCCTCCATCCCCTCCCTCTACAAAGGTAGGGCCAGGTGCGTCTTATTCTCCACTGTGTCCCTGGTACCCAACAAGGCAGGGACCCCCTAAATGGTGGGGAAGGAGCTAGTGAAAGAGGAACGAAAGCAGATCATCGAACCGAGCCCCTAGGTGGGACAAATGGGGAAACTGAGGCCACGAGTGCGAGGGAGCTGTTAGAACTCGAAGACGGAGCCCCAGACAGTGACCTCCAGAGGCCTCCCCAGCCCCCGCTCCCCAGAGTCCTGTCCCTTCCTGTGGAGACCGAAAGAGGGCTCGCAGGGAGGTGCACGCCCCAATCCCTGCAGGCCGCAGACAGGATTTTAGGTTAAGGACCTGAGCTGGGGAGGGTCTCCTGGATTGTCCGGTGGGCCCCACGCGTGGTCGGTCGCAAGTCCTTCCCCCTTTTGTCACCTCCCCGCAGGCTGCGGACGGAGGCCGTCTCCTCCACCTCTGAGCTCCTTTCCAACCGGTCTCACCCCTGGGCTCCACCCCAGGACCCCGATTTCAGCAAGAATCCTGCCAAGTCATTTAGCCAGCCCCCCCCGCCCCCCCCCGACTCTCCGTCCACCGAGCCGCCTTCCTTCGGCTGTAAAGCGGCGTGTGTCCCCCATGACCTCTGTGACCTCCCTCCCCTGATTCCGCCAGCAGGACCACAGTGGCCAACACAGCCGAGGGACACGGAGAGCATGTCATCAGGTCAGCTAGTCGTTAAGGACTCCGCGCATGGCTCCAGCCGGGACTGAGCCGGTGCAGAGGTTAGGAGAGGTGCTGCGTGAAAAAGGGACCCGCCTGTGTCCTCCTCCCCCCTGCAGCCCCTTCCGGGCCTCCGTTTCCTGGACTGCCAGCGTGGCTGCCCCTGTGACCTCTGAGCCCCCTCGGGCACGTGGCGGGCGGCGGGCGGGGACGCTGGTCCAGGGAGCGACCTCTGGCCCAATTCCAGTGGCAAGAACTTCCTCGGAGGCCTCCTGGGGTCTGCTCGCCTGGCACACAGTGCGACCCACTTGTCCCCAGACAGCCCACAGGTCATGAAGGGTGACCATCCCGTGTCAGAGTGTTCGATTCCCTTTTTGGGAAACGTCCAGAACAGGTAAATCCACAGACACAGAAAGGTTAGTAGGTGCCAGGGCCTGGGGAGTGACTGCTCCCGGGGACAGGGTTTCCCTTTGGTGGAGATGGAATGTTCCGGAACTAGATAGTAGGGATGGTTGCACAATGTTTGAATGTTCTAAAATGCCACTAATGGTAAATTTAGAAGAGAGAGAGAGAAGCCAGGTCGACACAGCTCTGGGTCCCGCTAACACCAATGCGGCTGATCCGGCCCCCAGGCCTTTGCCCGGGGCCGGGCCCTCTGCCGGGGACGCCTTCCACCCACCCGCTGGTCGGGCTGACTGCGGCTTCCCCATCGGGTCTCCAATCAGAGGACCCTTCTTTCCGGGACAGGGCCTGGCCCCTCGTCCTGGTCCCCAGGGAGGCCCTGGTCTCCTGGATCAAGCTCCCCCCACTGCCCCCGCCAGGCTGGGGGCAGCATGAGGGAGCAGGACCCTGCAGGACCCCCAGAGCCAGCAGATGAACAGGTGCATGAGTTTATGAGCAAAGGGGTCAGGTTTCCAGAAACCCCTCAGGGTAATCAGAGACTTGGTGGGGTGGGGAGAATGGGTGGCCCCATCACCCCCAGACCTGGAGCGGCACCTATGACCCCAGCCTCAGCTGTGCCCCTATGCAGCCCGCCCTGCCCCAAGGGGCACCTCGTCCAGGACGGGGAAGCCAGCCCTGCGGGGCCGGGCACCTCTCCTGGCCCCTCTGTCCTGGGCGCACGCTCCTCCTGCACCTGGCAGGACGGTTCGAGGGTCCCTCTGTGGGGCACAGCCCCCACTGTCCTGTGTGACCCTGGGCGGGCCGTGTCGCCTCCCCTTGCTCACACGGGCACTGTGCTGGGTGGGGCGTGGGCTCCGACTGTTACTATGTGATGTTGTGATGCGTCACAAGAAGGAAACACTCGGTCTCAGTCCTAGCTCCCGGCAGACAGTTCCTAAACCCTTGGACTCCCTAGGTGGGAAGAGGGAGAACCTCTGTCCTCAGTTCCTGAAACAGGTCCAGAGCCATCAAGATGAAGGCGGCATCTTTTGCTGTTTGTGACGCACCCTTTAGTCCCACCTATGTTTATGCGAGTGGGGGGACTTTTGGGAAGCCAAGGCCACAAGCTGGGGCTGGCGGCCAGCGGACCCCCGAGGAGGGGCAGGGCTGGGGGTGGGGTTCATCACCAACGGCCAGAGGTGAGGACGCCCCCGGTGGGTGATGGGACGGCTCGGGGATGCGCCCCTCGCACACGCCCTGTCCGCCCCCATCTCTCCTGCTGGCTGTTCCTGAGTTAGATCCTTTGTCATGATCAGGTAAAAAGCACGTAAACCTTTTTCTTGAGTTCTGTGAGCTGCTGGGGGAAGGTTGAGGGAAGTCCTGATTTTTGGCCACTTGGGACAGAAGTGTGGGTGACCTGGGGGCCTGCTCCTGGGGACTGGCGTCTGAGGTGGGGACGTGCACACGCGCGGGGCTGAGCCCTTAACCTGTGGGGTCCGTGCATGACTCTGCGCGGTGTCAGGATTTGGTTAGGTCGCAGGACACCCCGCCGGTGGCCGCCAGGAGCCGGAGAGTCGCTCGTGGGGACCCCTCCCCCAGTCCGGTGTGGGAAGTGTTGGTGTGAGTGTAGAGAGAGACAGAGTCTTCTCTTTCAGTAATATTAATAATAACATATATATAATTTTTAAATTATTACTACTGTCACCTGCTGATTAGGTTTGATTCCAGACAGGACCGGGAGGTCATCCGAGGCTGCTTGCCCGAGGTCATCTGAGGTCGCCCAAGGTCACCTGGGGCCACCTGCCCGAGATCGCCAGGCAGGAGTTCAGGCCGGTTCGTCTGCTCCCGGCCCAAGGCCAGCGCCACACCTCGGGGAAGTGGACAAAAGTAACAAACCTCCCTTCTCAGTCACCGCTTCTTTATTTCCACATAAAAATCCCCCAAAGCTCATGGAAATGATGTCTGAACATCATGACAGTAATCCTAATGAATTGTTTTGTTTTTAAAAACCACAAAATTCGCTGTCGTTAGGATGGGCGTGTGAACTACGACTTAGGACGCATCCCGTGTCCCGGGACGAAAACCCAGCGTCCCTTTCCGACGAGGTCCGGGGTCCGGGGTCCGTTGCGTTTTGGCCACGACCGCCCCGGAGACACACGCCTTCCGCAAAGCCGCTTCTGAGGTGCGGGCGGCAGCCGGCCCCCTCTGGATGGAACTGTGCACTGGGACTTCTCACGCCTGGAGACAGCCCCCACCCCCGGGGTCTCTCTTGATCCCAGAGGGGCTGCCGCGGCCGAGCTGGGTCCTGGGTCCCGCTTGCCTGTTGTCTGCGGCTGCTGGTGGTCCAGAGGGGCGGCGGGCCGGCCATGCTGGGCCAGGTGGACCCCGTTGCAATTTCTTGTGCAGCCTGCAGGCTCCTCCGGCGGGGGGGGCGCGGGAGGCTGGGGTCTGCTGCTTCCTGTCCCTCTGTCGCCTCCCGGGGCGCTCAGTAACTGGCACGGGGTAGACCGCATCAGTTCCTATCCCTTAGCTTGCAGCCAGGTTCCAGCCTCCGGGCGGCGACTGCGTGCATGAAGGTGGGAGTTTGCAGCTTTGGGGTCCACGTGTTGATCCTGGGGCAGGACAGCCGGCCACCCAGGCCTGGAGTTTGGGGCAGGCCCCAAGCAGATTGGGGGTAGGGTCTCTAGGAGGGCAGCCTGGAAGAGGCCCATCTGCCAGTCTCTGCTGCCTCAGGCTGCAGGTGACACACCTGGGCCCCAACAAGGTCCTGTCCTTTATTCGGCATTCGGGAAACACGGCAGAAACACACATTTAAGAGCCCCCCATGCCCCCAGGCGTCCCCACCTTCCTGGGGCAGTGCTGTGCCGCAGAAGATGCGTGCCCAAGCTCGCTCAGAAACTCATCATTTTCCAACGTGGTAGCCTCCGGTGTTTGGGGTGGGGCAGTTCCTTGACGTGCAGGACCCTCTCCAGCGCAGCAAAATGTTGGGCATTCCTTTTCCTCGGCACTAAACACCACCGGCTCCTTCCCACTGTTGGAATAACCTCCAAACACCTGACGTCCCAGGTCGAGAGGCATTTGACATTGCCACTGAGGCCAAGAGCCTCATACTCAGCGCGCATGAATCTTGACCGCTAAGAAGCTAGCTGCAGAGCCAGTAGGAGGGTCCCGGAGAAGGTGCCCAGTCAACTTTCGCTCAGATTTATATAAATAGAGACTCTTAAGATTGGAGGAGACTGCAGAGGACCACATTCTGCAAGCGCTTCCCAGCCTTTTCTTAAATGCCTCCACAGATGGGGAACTCACTACCTCTAGCGGCCACCCGACGGGTGTTTGGGCCGCATTAGAGAAGTCTGTCTTTTGTCCAAGGTCAACTTTCCGCCTTTGACTGCAGGTCCCCACAGCATCCAGGCCACGGGAATTTCCTTTCCCAAGTGAACTTCCAAATACTCAAGCCTGTAATACCCTGTATCTTCCTTCACGCAGTTCAGAGCCCGTTTCCCCTTGGTGGGAGCCTGAGGGGCGCATCCCAACCCTGCAATGGGGGGAATCAGGAAAGTGGGGACACTTCATTCCCTTAGTAGGAGGTATTGACCAGGACTGCTCTGGGGTGTGGCATCCATGTGAGAGGGGCTTGAGAATGTTCTAGATGGGGAGGGGCGGTTTTATAACTGAAGGGCTGGGGTAATTATCGGCAGCTCACTGGTGCTGTGGGCTCCGATGCTCCCAAAGAAGGTGGGTACCAGAAGAGATGGGGGAGCTGGTCAGATGAAAAACCAGGAGGTGGAAGGTTGGGAGGTTCCCGGGGGCATGGCACAGGTGGGGGGCTGAGCCTCCAGGCCGGATGCCCAGAGCAGCAGGGGCTCTTCTAGGAGAAAAGGCACAAGAATGAATCCAGATCCGGCCAGGGAGCTGGTGGGCATTGGTGGCTCCAAAGTGGGCCAGGTGACAAGCAAGAGAAGGGTCTTGAATCAGGACTTTGTGCAGTGGGAGGGGGTCTCTGAAGCCATCAAGGACACCCGGGCCATGCCCTGAGCTTCTTGCTCTTCTTGGCCATGAGCTCATGAGCGTGGAAGGATGGAGGGCTGAGAACCGGGTCCTTTTCTGGAACACACTACTACTGCGTTGTTTAAAACAAAACAAAACAAAATATTTTCAAGCAGCTAAAAAGGAGGCTGGGTTTCAGAGATGGATGGAGGAGACTGGCATCTTCCGAAGACGGGGACTCAGGATGAGGAGGGGATGAGGTCCAGGGCCGGAGGGCGTCTGACAGGTTTCTTGGCATCTGGAATCTTCTTCTTGTCCTTCTCTGTATTCTCGTCACCTCAGGACAGGCTAGAGAGGGATAAACACAGGTCAGGTCATTGTTATTGTTTTTAAAGCAAGCGGGGAATGCATCCATGTGTGGAATCCAAGAGCATGATCTAATCCGGCTTTGGGGGTCCTCAGCAGCAAGAGGGGTACCTGCTGCCTGCCACCCACCTTCCAGGTGTGGTTCTGAAGGGGACCGCTCCCTCCGTGCCGTAGCAGAATGGGCCCTGGGGCTGGCGCCTCCAATCAGACCAGAGGGAAGCTTCAAAGCAGCCCCTTGTCCTTCGTCCCTCCATCCGCCATCTATTTACCTACACTTCTGTCTGTCCATCCATCCATTGCTTCCTACAGTTTCTTCTTTTGTGTCTTTAATTATTTTATTTTTAAAGATTTTATTCATTTTTAGAGAGAGAAAGAGTGAGGGGAGGAGCAGAGCGGGAGGGACAGGGACAAGCAGACTCTATGCTGAGCGAGGAGCCCGATGTGGGGCTCGATCCCAAGACCCTGAGATCATGACCTGAGCCGAAATCAAGAGTCGGAC